GCGATTTGCCTCTATCCCAGCCTTTCCGCACATTTTGCTTCCGATTTGACTACCTTTCTTTCTTCATTTTGTGTTAGAGTTCTCAGAAGTCGTCAGCAAGAGTGCCGGAGAGATGAGGACGGAACCCCAGGCAAAATAAAATTTGACAGCGGCGTAGCAACGCAACGCCGCGCACCCTCGATCGGCCGATTCTTATTGCGCTTATAAGCGTTATAAGGGTCGGCCGATCCTTATAAGTATGGAGATACCCTTAGCAGAAGACGTTTTTAGGAAATTTTGGACTACAGATCTTGTCCTCTGAGCAGAGGGGGATCTCTAATGATTTTAGAGTTAGCATTTGCATAGGGTAAATCAAGGATTGCTTACTTCAAAACCTTAAGCTTTGTCTGTTTTCTTGATTATAAGCTTTTGAACAACAAAATTGGATTTTTATAAACACTGCACCACCTGGCATGCTTTTGTGCAGTAAGATTCGACAGCTAATGATCAACTTGCTAGTTCAAATAATATATGAAATGTACGAAGTATCTCATAAGTTCAGCCTGATATTTGTAGAAATGCAGGAATTGAATTAGGGATGTTTTGATGGTATGTGCCGCAATCAGTACTGCTAGCAATTAAGTATTATCATAGGATACGTCGCGCTGCATCTTCACTGAGGTTACTCACATCTTACCGCCACTCCATAGAACGACATCTAGTGAACCCTTTCAAACTTACCAGGCGTTGTGATTTTGAAAAAGTTTTCGCAGGTCTCTTTACCTTTCTTCAACTTTGCCTTCTAGTGACTTTCAGTATACAAGCAAATAAACATAAAGAAGAGAATAGATAGATTCTGCATTCTTAAATGTGTAGTCAAATTCCAGCAGCTGTTGACGAAAACGTGAACATATGGACAGGTCCTTACGCTTTCACAAACGGTTCTCCTATATTTGCTCCATTGCTATGTCAGAAATTTTTGAAAACGTATTACTCGAAATCGATTTAGGAAATAACAGCTTCATAGCAGCAGTAATGATAGAGAACTCCTTAGCTAACATCATGTTCATATTGTCAGTGCAAT